AAAATATTATTTTCATTTGTTTTCCCCTTTTTTAATAGTTTCTTCTTTAACTTGATGTTGGAAAGTCCAATTTGTACTTTTGCAAGTTTGAATTTTGAGAATCATTGTGAGAAATGCCTTGAGAAATGAGAGGGGAAATTTTGGGGTACAACACCCGCGAACATAACGCCTGGGCAGACATCCTGTCCAAACTAGCAAGCACAAAGATGAAAGGGGGGGAATAAGTCAGTGATATTGAAAATTCTTCCTCGACCGAGCACCCAGAGACCCCCTTGACTTTGGAAGTATTCTCCATAGGAGACAACGAATGCTTGATGACCCCTATACACGAATAACTCACAAAAGGGGAGCTACCCGCCGACTCAAAGGAGGTGGCCGTGGTGAGACGAAGAACCTGCTCCTACGTTTTGGTCAAAGGAAAATTATATAGAAGAGGGTTTTTCATTCCCCTCCTAAAATCTGTTGATTGGAGCGACACGGATCGCATCCTGCTTGAAATCTATGAAGAGATAAAAGGCCAACACTTGGGCCGAAGATCCCTCGGCAGGAAAGCTCTACGAGCGGGGTATTACTAGCCCACCATGCAGCACGATGCAAAATAGCACGTAAAGAAATGCGACAAGGGCCAATGGCACGGGGACATGCACTTAGCTCCCCCGAACGAGCTCAGGTCCATATCTTCCCCCTAGACCTTTGCTTGGTGGGGGTTAAATCTCCTTGGGCCGTTCGTGGTAGGTATAAATCAAAACAAATACTTGATAGTGGTCGTTGAATACTTCACCAAATGGATAAAGGTGGAAGCATTAGAAATAATTACCGCCCAAAACATCATGTGTTTCTACAAAAGAAACATCCTTGCTCGGTCCGGCGTCCAGCAAGCGATTGTCACTGACAATAGAACCCAGTTCAAAGACCAAGCCTTTCAGGAATTCATCTCCAAGTTGGACACCACTCAACACTTCACCTCTGTCGAGCATCCCTAGACAAACGGCCAAGCCGAGTCCGCGAACAGGGTGATACTCAGGGGTCTTAGATGAAGGTTAGACGATACCAAGAAAAGATGGTTCGAGGAGCTGCACAACATACTATGGGGCTACCAAACAACAACACAATCATCCACCAGGGAGACTCCTTTCCGACTAGATTACAGAATGGAGGCCGTCAACCCCATAGAGATTGAGGAATCCTCCAAGCGAACCGAAGCTCCCTTAGACAAGGAGATGAACGACGTTGCCCTAAGAGAAGAACTAGATCTGGTCGAAGAAATCCGAACAAGAGCAACCCTACGAGAGGCCTTTCTCAAATAAAAAATAGCCATGTGCTACGACACCAAAGTCATACGGCGAGAGTTCGAGGTCGGAAACCTGGTCTTGAAGAGAAATCGCAAAGAATCTCACGAAGGAAAGCTTGCAGCGAACTGGGAAGGTCCCTATCACGTCTGCGCAAAAACAAGGATCAGGGCGTACTACTTAGAAAATCTACAAGGGGAATAACTTGCTCAACCATGGAATGCTGAAAAGCTAAAACAATATTAACGTTAAAACACTGAGCATTCGGCGAGCATTACCGACAAGACGAACTCATCTAGGCCCAACCACACATGCATGCATAGGTACAAGCATGGCACTCCAATTTAAATGAGGGGGAAAGACTCTACTCTTTTTTGACGAGCGGATCCTTAGCCCGACATGGATAAATCGACCGATCTCCATAGTCATTGTACCACGCCAGCAAAATGCCCAACTCGCGATGGGTAGTTCATGCCACTATGCTTGGATCCTCAAAACGAGACCCGAGTTCTGGCCTACTCCCGATATTCACCCTGGTCGTTTGACCAGTTTCCCCACACTGGCGAACACACTAACTAACGAGCTAATCTCCGCTAAAAACTCAGCCAATAAAAAATGTCTCAAATAGACGAGCATACGATAAACATGCAAACACAATAAAAAATTAAAATAAACGACCACCATGGTCCGGTATTTAAAGAACGACCACCAGGGCCGCAATTATACAAATTTTACAAAAAAGGAGGCCCTTGGCCCCCCATCCAACGAAATAACTTTGTGGCCACAAGGACCACAACTGTTCGAGAATTATATAAACGGGCAAAACCCGGAAAAACAAACTACAACATACGGCACGCATGCCAGAGAAAAAAAGAAACATAACTATCATTCTTCGGTCAAAGTCACTTCCTCGGGAATGGGTGACAATTGAGACGTCTTTCCCGATGGCTGAGCAACAAAATCCTTGAGGCACTGAGGGACCAAAATCTTTCTAGCGGCCACATAGTAGTGGACCCTCACCCTTGAAGTATTGAGCTCGACACTGGGATTCAAGACTTGGATCTATTTCACCGTATTTTCAAAGCTCACCTCATAAGAGGCCTGGACGTCATCCATCACAAGTTGGAGTCGACCAACCAGCTCAGCCTGAGTCTTCATAACCCTTGCCTCTTCGAGATCATCTTCTACGAGCGCAACATCAGCAATTAAGGTCTCTACCTCTTCCCCAAGGCCTTCTTCTCGAGCAGCCACACTTTACGCTCCTCGGAAAATTTCTGAAGGTTCTCCTCAACCAGCTTGCAAGCATTGTCCACTTCGGTGTGCCCCTTCTCGACCTTGGTCAGTTTGGTCCACAACTTTTTCAGCTCGACCTCCTGAGAAGGACCCCCTCGGTGTAGGCCACGAACATATCTAGTATTTGCGTCAAACCCCCGGCATCTTGCGCCAGCGCCGCACTCTTCTCCGGGTGATCCAATCCCTAAAGATGAAGTGATTCAGCCTAGGGAAGTTACAAAGCATCACCCTCGAATAAGGCCCTTTCCAGCCAGCAGGGAGGCAAGTCGTACTTATCTTTCCCATTCTCACCAGTCAAATCAATGTTACCCTCAATACGCAGCCTTTTCACCTTCGAGGACACTAGAGCAGGGGAGAGAGTACCGACAGTTGGGCCTGATGATGAACTGCCCGACCCAGACGCTGGAGTCGTCCTCGTACCAGCCTAGGCATCCTTGAACGCTTTCTTTGCCTTCGAGGCATGATTCTTGGCCATGTGCTCCTCGCTTTTGAACCCAAGTACGTAAGTACGCAACAGGGTTCTCTCTTTTGAGGAGCTCCTTGACACCTATCAGGCCTGGCTCATACAAAATCTCCTCGTTTTTGTCTTTAACCAGTTTCCCTCCTTGGCCCATGCATTGAACATGAGGAATCCTCGCGACAAAGTTGCTAAACAGGCAAAATTGGTCTGGTCCTTGTCGCCAAGTTGTCCCTCTTTCGACACATAGGTCTCCAACTTCCTGTGAAAATGCTTCCTGGTCCATTGGAAAGGGAACTTGCGGACCAACTTATTCAGGTGCTCCCTCTGTTCGTTCAGGATGGGAGCCTCTTCCTTGTCATATGTCGGGGTGAGCCGGAAAATATTCAGCATGGCCCTCCCCGAGACAGGCTGCACGAGGATGTACTTGTTCTTAAAAAATCTTACAAACTCCAAGTAATCCTTGAACATTACTTCGTTGTCCTGTTTCAAAGCGACCCATCCGTGCAGGCTATTAACCTGGCTCCTCTGAAGATGGAAGTAGTAGAAGAACAAAGGGATGGTGGCCCCTATCTTCAAGTAGTCGTGCAATATCTTGAATGCTCGTATGAAGGCAATCCCGTTCGGGTGCAGTTGAGAGGGAGCAAGCCAAAGGTGCCTGAAAACGTCCACTTGGAAGTCCGTAAAGGGGAGATGGAAGCCCATCTCCCAGGACAAGATATCGTACATAGGGATCCCTCGATTGTCATACCTCGAGCAGATCTGACTCTTCTTTCTGAGGATCCAGATTGACCATTCCTCTTGGTCGCCCTCACCGTCCATCTACGAATCCACCTTGGAAAAAACATCAGCCAAATGCTTGACAAAATAGGAGAACAAATAGGTCACCCTAATCGGCGTCCTCCTCCATGACGTGTTGGTCAAACTAGTTCGATTGAGGCTTGGATGCCTCCAAGGTGCTCGACTCAGTAGGGGTCCCGTCCGTAGAACTCTAGGAAGATTCGATAGGCTCTCCCAAGAGGTCGTCTCCAACGTTATCAACCATAGTACCTGAAAAGTAGAGGATAGAGGTGAGTTTGACATCGATGTCAGAACCACCTGTTATAACCCAATTTTTGCCCCTAAGATCCCTCATCACATCATATATATCTCATGTATATCATCGATTCCATGGTTACAGGATCAAAAGGGCTCTTTAGCATCAGAGTTTTTCTCTATGGATTGAGGTTGCTACCTTTCTCAAGATGGTTACATTAGATCTCTCATTACACTTGCTATGAAACTAGGGTTTTGGGCTACAAGCATCATAGATACTTTCCTTGACAAGATCCTTAAGAATAAAAGGTTTTCCTTATCAGAGTTTCTTCAAGGAACAAAGGCGTTAGGGTTTAACTCAACCAAAGAATTAGATTTTTTTTCTATGCTCGAACTTGGTGTTAGATCTTCAACCGAGATTCATTGTGCTAGGTTTTGGTATCACTTTGTCCATTCAAATGGCAAATAGTAAAAAAGGAGGCTTTGCATACCATGATCTATTCAAAGCTCAAAAGAAAAGAAATTTGGGATTTAAAGTTCATTTTGGAAAAGAAGACTACTTGAATTTCTGGAAATTATCATTAAATTTAAAGGATTCCAAACCATGCTTCAAACTTCATTATATCATCATTCCTTCAATACCATGTCAAGATCAAAAAAGAAAGAATTCAATATGAAAGAAAGAGAACACTTTGATTACTAAGGTTTATCATCAAATCTTCAAAATGTTACATGGCCATCTACATCATGAACCATTACAAAGAGGAATTTCAAGTTCATGTACCAAATTCCACTTAATTACCATCACAAATTCAATTTACATCAAGAGCTACAAAAGAAATAAATAAAACTTCATCCTAATGTCTAAACTTCATGCTTGAACCAATCTCCAATTCCCTTCATGCCATAACCAAACCTTATCATCTTCAAGCTATGCTCCCCTGCGCATTCAATACACATCATTAGTCCAAACCAAAACTGAACATATGCAGCCCTGTAAAACAGATTAGCCATTAAACAAAATAAATCGGTTTAAACATAAGATCCAGTTCATAAAAGTTATCCACTAAACCAGTTGGCCTAACAGATAAAAAAACTAACAGTTCATAACAGATAAACTTCCTAAAGTCAGCTTGCAATTCATTCACACATACCAGATCATGATAATCACTAACCCGTTAAATAAAAAATTAAAATAAACAACTCACTTAACATCACTCACTCATCCAAAACTCAATCCGTAACTACCTCACTCACTAAGTCAACAACCTGAGTTCACTCCTACTAACTATGAACAAACTATAATAGAATCAGTTTCCAAGCTCCAAGAGTTAGCTTCTCAGTTAATTGATATGTGGAATCTAATGCATATTCCTCAAGAGAAAAGAAAATTGTTTGACTATGTTACCTGTAATATCTTTGCTTCTGTGGATGAAGTCACTATTCCTGGTTCCCTTTCCCTAGATCTGATTGAGCAGGCTGAAGTGGAAGTTGAGAGACTCGACCAGCTCCAAAACAAGTCTACAAAGAAATGAAAGTTAGTAGTTTTTCCCTAGTCAGCACGGAAAAAGATGAGAAAAATTCTACAACCAGTTCAGTTGGCGGTTACAACTGACAACTATCAAAACTAACTTGTAACTGCCTAACTGAATCTCTAACAAACTTTTTTGAAACTATAACAAAATCATAACAGAAGGAAGGAGGGAGATTTATTTGGCACGATTGATAGAAAAGATGATAACAAAAATTGCAAGACTGACCTTTCAACTATCTCTGCAATCTCTGATCCTCAACCTTCACTCTCTCTTCCATCTTCAACCTTCACTCTCTCTTTCATCTTCAAGTTTCACTCTCTCTTCCATCTTAAACTTTCATGCTTCAATATCATCTTCAACCTTCTTCAACCTCCATCAAGAACTTCAACTCTCTTTATGTTTCTCTGCAATATCCCGTCAATCTTCATCTAAAGATTTCTCTAAAAAATTTCTCCCTTCTTCATCAATAATCAGCAACTATATTCCTATCTTCATTATTATTGTTTCTCCTACAACACCACACAACAACGATATCATCAGATTTATCTGTAATTTCTTGCTTCATCTCTACAATAACACACAGTAGCACGACAACACAAGAAAAAGGGGAGAAGTAAATCAAGGAGAAAGATACGAATGAATACGCATACCTGAAACTCCGCGGAGCGACATAAGGATTTCTCATCATCGCAACAGTGTGGAAGGAGCAACAGACTCGTTTCCGATAAGTAACCCCTTACAATCTTTTCCTCCGGCCTGTAATGTTGCTATGTTGTTATTTTGAATCGTTGAAGATAGGAGACGTTGTGATTGAGATCAGAAATGGAACACAGAGGCGAAAGTAAATGGAAGCGTGGCTGTGGAGAAGAGAGATCGAGACAGGGAAGGGAGGAATACGAAGGTCAAACGAAGATGATGGGGTGGTGAACGGAGCAATCCACGGAGGTGAGAGGTGATGATCATCGTTTGCGAAGTTTAGAGAGGAAGAAGTCGTGTTTGAAGAGAAGATTGAGAGTCATAGAAACTTAAACCCTAAAACTACAAAACTACACCGTTTCATTAGTTTACACATTTATTCTTGTTTTTTTATTGCAAAAGTAATATAATCAAAATAAGTGGAAATTATATTGGAAGTGGATTAGTAACATTGATGAACCGAGTATGTGAAATCCCTGGGCCCTGAAATAATTCATGCGAGCATACCTCTCCCAGGTCCATTACACCATGCCCTTTTTTAGTTTTTTTTCTTTGCTACTGGATTGACAATGGACCGAAACCCTTAAGCCCACTGGCGTTTTTTATTGAAGCCAACAAGCCTTGTTACAAAAAGCTGGTTGGACCTGTTGTTGATGGGCTCTAGCGTCCAAATTGCTCTTGCACCCCTGGGTTGTTGGCTTGTACCCCCTGAGTTTATTCTTTTAGTATTTTCTTTTGAATAATTTTGTGAATTGTTTAGATTTGTTTTTACTTTTTTTTTCTTTTTCTCATATGATAAAAAATAATAAAATCAAATATAAAAATTTGCTAGATCTTTTTATTTGAATTTTAGGAATTAATTCATGATATTTCGATTACTTGAGACTTCTGATTCACTTCTGCTTGTCGAGATTTGAGTTTTATGCAGGTTTAGTGTGTGATATACGGATATGCTTGAGTTTCCAGTTGTGATTTATTTTCACATCGATGATGCTCCAACACTATTTATGAATATTCGATATCTGACTGTTTATTTGTTGATTCCAGCTCGCGCGAAGTATTTCGGGCTTCTTTGCTTTATGTGATACGGTGGCAGATCTGACTGTTAATACTGGTTTTGTATTTATGTTTGTAAATGTTGTGGTAAGCAAGAGTCGCCACCGACTTTTCTTTTATCCAAATTAAGGAAATGGTGAAAAGAACAGAAAAATACCTTTTTGAGAGTTTTCTGAGTAAGGGGGGTATATTATGGAAAGGGAAGGTGTTAGCACCCTTTCCATCTGTAGTTCTCTACGGGCTCTTAGATGCTTAGGTCATTTTAAAAGTACCTTGTGCTTTGTGTGTTTTTAAAAAATGTTTTGAAATGCCTTAGTGCGACAATTTTCTTCATGATAACTCTTGTATCAGTCCTCAAGAGTGTTGACAAAGCAAATGTTTTTTAAAGTTGTTTTTGAAATGTGTAAGTGTAAAAAAAAGTTTGTTTTGAGCAAGCATCTAACAGCTACCTACTTGTACTCGAAAAGGTAGTTCTTTTCCTCATATCCTTTAGACAGTGCTATCCTACTATTAGTGAGTAGGTAGCCCTATCGTTGGACGTATGAGGGACAATCGAATGGAGGTTACGGTCACGAAGGCAACTTGGCAAGGAATTTTAGTAAATGTCCTAAAGTTCTAAGATCACTTTTAACCGAGGCAACATCGAGAGGGTCATCGAGGGACTTGTGATCTTCTAAACTAGAGGACAACCACTAAAACTTCTTACGTTTCAAGAATTGTGACCGTTTTCTGAAGGCAAGCGAAGTGGGATACCCTAAAGGTGCGCATGTGCAATTGTGCTTGGTTCAATTATTTATCTTATGCATTTAGGGTTTGCTAACGTTTGCTTTCAGTATTGTCATACAATTCTATTTACTAACAGTTAATATTTTGCAGAAAATGTAAAGTGAGGAAAGTGAAAATCTAGACTATTACATGGCTTCTGGGAGGGGCATTTCCAATGTACAAAGCTTGGGAAAATAAATAAAGGCGGTAAAAGTCCTAATTAATTCTATTACATCCCGTGAGCAGATACATTCAATAATGAAATAAAAGTAATAATGCTAGAATAGTGAATGCGCGTGAATTCGAAAAGACGTTTAAAAAATCCTAAGGTAAAAGGAAATCTTTTTGTTTTGTTTTTATTTATAAAAGAAAATAAAAATTAAGTCTATTTAATTTTAATTTCAAGAAAAAAGGTTTAAATAATTAGTTAATTTGTTTACAAAATTAATTTGATTAATAAAACACTAACCTAATGCTTTTTTTGTGATTTTTGATTTAAAGTTGATTCAAATGATAAAGTCAATAAATAAATAATGAAAACAAAAATAAAAATACAAAGGGGGAGGGGCATCCTTCGATCCAGGGAGAAATGGGAGGCTTTCGATTCAGAGGAAGGTGTCTTTCGATCCCGAGGAAGATGGCTATCCTTTGATCCAGTGAAAGAATATTACCCTTCGATCCAGTGAAAGGATATAGCTTTCAATCCAGAGGGAATTATTGAAAGGGCCTGATGGATCACCTGTGAGGATGCTGAATCTGCAAAGATATGTTAGCAAAACCAATATGCAGGACCTGGGTATCAAACCCAAGTCCTTCTATCCTGTGTGTGTTGGTCTGTTCAGGATGGATCTGCAACAAATTTTAGAAACAAAACAAATGCAGACCTGGGTGTCGAACCCAGGTCCTTAATCTTGATACAAATCGAATGCATTATAAGTGTTAATATATCACGCAAATGTAAATTTGATCTTTTTACCAATTCTTACCAACAGTGATGTATGAATCTGTAGCTTCAGGCGTGGGTACCCTTATTTAAGGGTTGCTTTGATTTGGAACTTCTGGATGTGGATGGGCTTGGAATAGACTTTTGTGATCCTCAGGAGCACAAATTTAGTATTTTTATGGACTGGGGGTACCTGCAACACTAGCTTTGAATTATAAGATTTTTTTATAATTTAGTATACTTTTTTGAGGCAGCGTGTGCGTGTATGAGCAAGTCTCTCATATTTTCGTGTGTTTTTCCCCTGTCTTGAAGCTTTCTAGTGTGCTCCATATATAGAGGGGATGGAGGGGACAAGAGGGCAAAGGAATAAACAGCCATTAAGTTGGTGTTTTAAGGCTATGAATATCACCTTGAAACTTTGCCAAAGACATGGTTTCTTGTCCGTTTTTGAATTTTATATGAACCTAGACACATTTGGGTCTTTCAAATGCCCTCCAGCGTGGCTCTTCGATTGGCCTGGAGTTTTGATTCGAAGTGTTCAGAAACTTCTCCATTAGAGCTTCTTCAATCAGTCAGTTTCTGCATTGATTGCTTGATCTTGCTCTGATATGCCAATCGAAGGACAATATCATGCCTTCGAAGAACCCCTTATCCTTGCTCTTCGGTTGGCCCAGAATTATCTCCTTCGAATGGACCACAGGTATATCCTTATAGATCCTTCGATTGATACCCATCTTTTTTCCTTAGCTGCTTGATTCAAATAACCCAAATGAAAATTTCATTTTGGCCAATCGAAGCCTCCTTTGTCACCTCCTTCGAATGCCATTGCACAAAAGGCCTGGGCCTGGCCACGTGTTGGACCAAGACCCATCATAAGACAAACTTGCATTCAGTAAATATATTTCTCATTCGAATGGCTCAATGTGTGTCCTTCGAATGGACCTTTGGAGTGCTCTTTCGAAGGGGTCATATTGTGTGTCATAGTTTAGAAACTATGTTGAGGGGTCTTGGCTCTATGCATTGAAAGTAATCATAGAAGAAACCTTTGCCCTTGTGAATCCAAGACAAACCTGAGGAAGCCTCTGCCTTGTGAAATGAAGGAAAACCTGAAGTAGCTAATGCACAGTCAAAGCCTTGTGATTTGGACGTGAACAAAGGGGGACCCAGCACCCACTCAAAGCTTGTGAATCAGACCTGCATCGAAGAGTGCCAAATGCCTAATCGAAGAATTTGAAACAAAGCTTGCTCGAAGGATTTAGATTCCCAATTGAATCTTATCATGATGCCAATCAAAAGACACTTTGTTTGGATACCAATCGAAAGACATTTGATTATATTCAAAAAAATTCATTTTCTTTAGGAAAGTGCTTGTAACCAACCATGTAAGAAAAGATCTTGGTAAACATGAGGGGGCAAATTTTGGGGTACAACAGCTGCCCCTGTTCAATCTTCTTAAATCTGAAGATTTAGATTGGCTTGTTTGCCTTTCGTGATCTGAAGGTGGAAGATGATTGAACACTAGAGTGCCCAAAAATTTTCACTCGCATGATATGATGATTTACTGTATAGAGAATGGGCTTAAAGATGCCATTTGGAGGAGATGACTGAGAGTCATCGAAGATGGGCTTAAATATGTCATCCAAAGTAGATGTTGACTTCCTACGAGGTTTCTTTGTGGGGATTCCTGTTCCTGCTGTCTGAGGAGGACTCCGCTGGGGAATGTGGGTTTTTGTTGTTCTCCTGCTTGAGGAAACTCTGTGGGGAATGGAGTCTAGGAATTTCAGTTGTCCAAGGCTCTGCTGAAGAGTTTTTTCTAGAGAGATGAAAGTTTGTTGTTTTCTGGTTGAAATCCAGGTTTCACAGTAACTTGTTGGGGATAATGGAATTAACCATTACATGAGAATGTATTAGAAAGAGCCTATGTAGGGCTGTTCCAGGATGAGTCCGTGTTTGTCTGCATCCGGAGAGATATGAGGAGGAGCCTATGTGGGGCTGTTTTAGGATGAGTCTGTGTTAAACTGCATCTGGATGATGAAAAGTAACCAGTGTAAGATTGCTTCGTCGGGTTGTGTAGATAGTTTTCCTGTCTGGTTTCAGGTATTAATCGGGAACCTGTAAATTGTCGGTCACTAAGATAGTTGTTATGGCTGGTTTCAGGTAATAATCTCTGGCCTGAGAAAGAAAGATAGTTTTCTTGGCTTTTTACAAGTATTAATATTTAATCTCCC